ACTTAAACCAGAGGAAGTCTTTGGATCACAACGGCTTTGTGATAAACCGTTATATATCTTAAGTAAAGTCCTGGGTTCCCCACATTATCTAACTGAAGATACATTACAAGCTAGGCATCATTCATTAGAATACTATAAAATATCTGAGATGCATGAATCAATAGTTCCAGCAAATAGTTTGATTATAGGTAAACAATCACAAGCATCAATTTGCACCTTGGTGGCTGACGAAAAATGCAAACCGAGGCTGATTCGTAAAGTTATGGTGCAATACCGTGCGGATGAAAATCTAGAACAAATGGCCCATAAGTTTTGTTTGAGGATCAGTTTTTTTAATAACATTGTTATATGCATTTCGCACCTTGGCTGCGGCACCTTGAGAGACGACCATTAAGCAGTAGCCGAAACCTCGGAGAGAATCTATTGCCAAGGAATGCTTGAGCAGCGTCCTACTAATAATATTACAGCAAATATCATACCAATTTTCATTTTCTGGATGCACTGTATACTCTAGCTGTTCGACTGCTCGCAGGATATTGCGTCCAGTAAGGTTGTGTGACTCGATGAGCATCTTCTTGTTTCGTCGATCCACGCAACTCATTTCGAGAGCCTTTGCTTCTCCAAATTTGACGAAAGCCTCCCAAACAGTATTTATCAGCTTAGTCGAGTACATCTTAGATTTATCTGGGGAGAAAGAGCGGCTGATAACATCTGTCGAGAGGACGCTATCGTTAAAAGGATTTGGGTATTTATTTTGCACAGAATTCATGACATCCTCCCATTTATGTCTATAAAGTAGTCAATTTCGTGAAACATACCGAAGCACAAAACTGTCTGCCCAAATCTCCTTCTTATAAAGCATATAGAAGTGGAGGCGAGAGAGGAAGAACCAGATCACGCGCCAATGCGGACAAGAAGAGGCAGGTTTAGACATGCATGATGTACAAAGTTGCTGAAGTTGGCATAAATTAAATAGTAAACAATTAATCGTGAGATAATTTATTTACCTATACTCGATTGCTTTATGCTTTACTCTTCCACCCAACTTCTAACATCTGGCAGGGGGACTAAAACTATGCAGAATTTCAAGTCTGATATTTATTTCTTGCAATTTTTGGTAAAGAAATATAAATATATTGTTCACGATTTATATGCCATTTATTCCGACCTTTTTCAATCTGCTGTGTTATT